TTGTGTATAAACTGTGCTATACAAAAAATGATTTCGCGTGACTGTCGTGGTGAGTCAAATAAAACAAAAACTGCCACATAAATATTCGCTATCTGCAAGCTCTAGTATTCTACTTTTGGGTTTGACGCTCTGTACAATCAGTGATGGAGCCGTCCAGACTAATTGTGAGCAAATCAGAATCAGAATAATTTTTATTGCCACGTAAGAAACAGGAGGTCACAGACTTGGAAACTGCAAATAAGTCTATTGCGGCGTTCACGGACATATTTATAGGTATATATACAGTGTATTCCACTTAGAGATGTCTGGAGGTGGAAAGACAGAAAAAATACACTTAATAGAATATATGCCTTGAATAAGCAATGTCATAGTGATGTTTCAGAGAATGCCATGACTTAACACTAGAAGTCCCGGAGTTTTTAGACCCCCGTTTTGAAGAGGAGAAGCTAACTTGCTACTTTGGTTGCTAACATTTGCAAATGTAGGTTCGACCGAAAAAAGCAGGGGGCTGAGGTGGGCTTTGTTTATTCGTGTAGGGGAGTGATGAAATACCTTTTAAATCATAATTCTGTCACAAAAATCTAAAACACCTTATTAAAATGCATGTATACCCTGGTAATCTTAGCCTCACAAGATGACAAAAACAGTTTCATATGAAAGTTAAGGTAGCCGCCCTGACAAAAACATATCCATCCATAGACTTTTTGTTCATTCGTTGCCATGTCGCACCAGTCCGAGCACCAGACAACCAGACCTCCTTGGCATGCACAGACCCACCCAGCTCTTCTGAGGGAATCCCAAGGCATTCCCAGGCGAGCTTATCAATCATGTTCTTTGAAACATTCAGAAAAAAATTATGAAATCTATCACATATGTTCATAAATTCACGTACATCCACCACGACTACTACACCACAAGCCTCTGCTACTGTACATCCCTGCATATGACAGGCCCCTTCACCCCAAGCTCAGCCCTCCATCGGTTACTCGCTGGAGCACGACCTCTCTGATTTACATAAGCGCTATAGGGGAGAGGAAGGGGGTAATTGCAGTGATGACAGCGGGGTCTGCCTCGTGAGACCTCGGTTTCGTTAACAACTTAATCGTCAAAACCAAGTGCAGACAAGACACTCAGACGTCACCCGGATCTGTGATGCAAAGCTGCGAGCGCAAGTGCGACAAGATATTAATGTGAAATGTGAGAATAGCACCCTAGTTATGAGCCATTCGCTTTGAAATGCACACCCATCTCTCCATACTTAGTGTTCATGGTTCAGGTCAAACATGTTGGGTCACTGTTTTAAAATCAGATGAAGTTTTACGCAAAAGGCTCAATTCAATTCGATTATTCTTTTTCTTGTATAGCTCTAAATCACAGTAGTTATCGCAGAGGACTTAACAAAACTGTTGAAATCGCCAACATAGATCAGAGAATCAAACAGTTCAAACACAACAAATATAGAACAAATTGGTCAAACTCCCTCTATGGACCAATGCCTATGTCCATAAATGTTGTAAAATGTTGAGTGTCCTGGATCATCACCAGAGTTCTTTTTGTAAGAGCCACTAACAGTCTAACAAACCCTCCTCCACCAGCAAAGAAAAACTCTAAAACCCAGTGGGAGAAAAGTGAGAAACCTCAAGGAAAGATTATACCCCTAGGCAGAAATATAGTGCTTTTTTAGTTTTGTTATTATTGGACCACATAATGGTGATTATGAACAATAACACAAACACTTTTCCACTCCTTTTTGTTTGTTTGTTGGGGGGAATATGAATATTTAATTTGCAAAAACAGAGAAAGGGCCATTGAAAAAAAGGCTTTCGGTAACAAAAAAAAACGAAGATTAAACTTGAGGAATACAAAAAAAAGTGTTTGACAAATGAAAAAAACAGAGATACCTGTTTTTGCAAATGAACTCTTGCATATGATGAAGCCAACCCGAGTAAATGAGCAGTTCACACACGGTTGTCTTTACTAACAACACGAAAGGTGACATAAAAAACTTAACTCTCACAGCTCTAATCAACACCCAACCTCTTTCACCTTCAAACACAACTCTTCCCAAAAATATGCTGAAACTCCCACACAGACAAAATCAACAGCGGTAAGAAAACACTGCATGAACTGTGTTGATCCTCCCATTAATTGTCACAGGACTGATGATTGGAGACATCTTCGATAAAACTTTCTTCTCCATGAGACAAATCACAAATCCTTCCACATTACCCCGCCCGACGTCACACATTTGGCAGTGTGAATTGGTGCAACAGCTCTCTCAGGCACGCTCTGGCCATTTTTTTATTTTTGCTTTTTTGAAATTGCAATTCTGGGTTGCAAAGAGATTCTGTGGTGGAGACTGGGGAAAAATGTTAGATTGCTTTGTCACAGCCAGAGATTGCCCATTCAGATCCTCACCAGGGAGCGCGAGGCTGGTCCAGAAAGAAGGATATGTGCAAATAAAGGCAATTTATTTACTGTATATATTTACAGCACATGCTTTTATTATTTGTGTTGATTTTGCCCGATAAACTTCTTTTAGAATGTGAAACAATTCCTTGAGTAGAAAATATATTGATAATAACGGGTAAAGAAATGAATAGGCTCGCTGAAGAAGCCCCGTCAAGTGGGAAATGGCATCTGGCTTCTAAAAAAAAATGTAACAACGCAGAGAAAATTGAGAAAGCCCTGAATAATTGATTATACTATAGCCCTATATCAAAACAGCAGTCTCAGGAAGGCTTTACAATGTTGTCAATTCACCAAAAACAGATCATAGAATCAAATAGTTTGAACACACAAAATGCAATAATAACAAAAACAGGAAACCTTGGGGAGGCTCACATCGAGAGAGGGATCTTCTCCCACGAACGGACAGGCTCTAGATTCAGGACTCAGGCTGTAGAACGAGGACTGAGGCTGTGTTTATTTATTTCTAATATTGATAGAAGTGATTCTAGCACTTAGGCTCCTCTTTTTTTGCCCGTTTCACATCAAACTTCTGAAATAAAAACTTGACATTATAAAGTGAAGAATCGTCAAGAGTGTAACAAATTTGAAAACAGCGCTTTTAGACAGAAGTCGTTCTCGTCAGATGTGCCTGATCTAAGAGTGGCTGGAACTAAAATCAGCTCCAGGTCTGTTGTTGATGTTGTCTTCCACCTTTGCATCCTGAATCGTAGAATGGATTTTGGAAAAGCTTTTCATTTGCGTCTTGTGTCACAGGTGCTCAAGCGCACGGTGCAGATGGAAAAGTGCTTTTGTCACACACGACTCACATCAGGCGTGCGAGGGTGGGGTGAGGGGTGAGGGGTGAAGGGGGGGGGCTGATTGCTGAGAGAGAGAGAGAGGGGGGGGTCAAGGGGGGCCGGCTGCACTACAATTGGTGTGACCACATTATTTGCGGCCGTGAACAGAAGTGCGGCACGGTGGGAGTCCTTTCACTGCTACAGAATTGCCTCAGACGTACATTCCGGATCGTGTTAAAAGTCTTGTTCTTTCCACATGAAAATGGAAAGCAAATCGTGGTCAGATTCATGTTGTGGGAAAGGAGCAGAGAGATGTGGCTTTAGAATAGAATCTTGAGAATGTTTGTGTAAATAGATTTTTGTGTTGGAACTGATTAGTGGATCGATATGATGCAATAGATCAACAGAATAGATTGTGGTTCTTAAGCAAAATTGTCTTTTTTTTGTACAACATTGTTCTTAATATCAGGAACTTTTTGGAACAAACACACATTTCTCCAATGAAATGACATTCTGTACAAAACTGTGTGCCGTCAATGACATCACAGAGAGCCTCAATCGTCCCCAGCTCTCCCTGTACTGAACAGCTTCTGATGATTACCAATGTCAATCAAATCAATCACAGTTTTTGTAGACTCCAAACAACAGTGGCAAGGAGGAATCACAGAATTACCGATTGCAGATTATAAAATCAAACCTATTTGATTAAACTTCATTTATTATAATCAAACAATTTAGTCAAATCAAGCAAAGAAAGCAATCATCGGCCCTGGAACAGATTCATCAACGTTCACAGGAATTTAACAATAGACAAAAGATTCCCTGTAGTTAGACCCTTCATTGTTTGCCAAGGAAAACTCAATGGGGGAAAAAAAGAGTGGAGAGAACCACGTTGAAGGAAAGAACCAATTGCATGGATGGACAGGACTGAGGACTGAGGAAAACATTTTAGGAGAAAACAAAGTATTTTCCCACTTTGACCGGTTCAACAATTATACTTCATTCATGCCCGGAGGAAAGATCATTCCCTGCATTTGACCCATCCTTCATTGACCTTCTTCCTTCATCCCTCATCTCCAGATATTTATTTGCACCTTGGTCAGGACCAGAGCTGGTGGATTTAACACCCAATGGAAATCTATGTAAACATGGGAAGAACATGCAAACCACACACTTGTACTAAAAACCATACATTCTACGATAAATCAGTTTAGTTCAATCACTAGTTTCCACATGGATGTATTTATGGCCTCTGTCACATCTTTAGTGTGACAGTGTGATACAGACTGCCCATTTTTTTCACCACATTTTGCTTACCAACTCTTGCTGTTGGACTGTGTTATTTATGAAAAACTTTAAGATGCCAACTTCTATCAAGAATACTTTTAATAGCCCAAATGAATGCAATCCATCCACAGTACAATCACTGGGATCATCATGAATACAACCTCATGATCAATCAAATAGTAAAATCCTTTCGTTTTACGCCTCTGCAAGCAGCTCAAACTAAAACAACTGCACATTTCTAATTGGGTTCGCTCTCTATATGATGTTCCGCACATTTCTGCACGTTTCTGCACATTTCCTGACATATAGCTTACCCCTGCATGTTATTAAAGTGGCCCTCGTTGCCCTTACTCTCCCCACACCAAACTACCTCTAATGACTTCCAGTTTTGCCATCTTGTTTCCGTAATGACATTCCCGTCTCGATGCGCAACCGCCGGGGTCAGCAGTGTGTACAAACGTGCCGATGGATCTTTTGAACTCCCCTTCCCCTTCCCGTCCTCCACGCCGCCAGGACCGCTCCGGTGACAGCGCGCGTCTCGGTACCACATTAGCGCAGGATAAGGTCAGCCGCTCGCCACTAGACTGAGCCGTAATCTTCCCCGACGCGACCTTTCCAGCGTAGATTAAGTCCATTAGCCATGCGACGGAGGCGGGGCGGACGTGCGCGCTGTCATGAGGGGTATCGGGTGAGACCGGGGCCCTGATGGTCGGAGGCGAGAATTAGCCGGGGAGTGATTATGTAAAAAGCGGTCTTTCAATTTGAGCCAAACGTCACGGAAAGCCAACGATTGTATGTAATTACGAGGGGAGAATAACATGCTTTGACAAGATGGTAGTAGGTGTTGCCAAATCCAATTATTGTGTTTCACTTACTGGGAAGAAATGTCACGTCTTATGCAGAGATTTTGATCCTGTTACATATTTGTTCCTTGTACAGAAGAAGTGGAATTTGGATTTCTCATTTGAAATTTAAGATTGAACGTCTACATTAGTTGCTTCATAGTATGTATTGATTGTCCCAATTGTTGTGAACAAATCAGACCACAAAATTATCCATCCACCCATCCATCCATTTTCTTCCCCTTAATCCATTTCTGGGTCGGGGGGGTGGCAGTCAGAGCTGAACCCAGTACACAGAGCACCAGCCCCTCACTGATCCTCCTGCAGGTGGTGAGTCCACAGGAGCTGAGATCTTTCAGCGGGGGCTTCAGGCAAAGTGGGGTTAAGTGTCTTGCCCAAGGACACAACGACAGCAGTCATCAATGGGAGTCGTGAAGTAGGTCTTGAGGTGGGCTCGAACCCACGACCTTCAGGCTCAAAGGCCAATGCTCTACCAACTGAGCTACTGTCGCCCCACTTCCCCACCACAAAATTATGTCTTTACTTAATCAAAATTGTGTACATACTGAAATCTAAATGACTGAGTGAGGGTGGTCCTTTCTTTTTCTCTAATCTGTTAAAAAAAACTAATATCAAGATGTGACAGAGACCACAATGATGTGAAAGAACAGTTTTGAGAGCTATAGTCACATAGCTTTAATTACATGTTTTTTTTGTGTGATTTCAAAGTTACAGTAGGTACTCCAACTTTCATGAAAGACAGAAAAAATCTTGACCATGTGCTTGTTTCATTGACAAAGTCTGTTTCAAGAAAGCAATTTAGAAACTGAATGTTGTCATTTCTGTAGCGTAATTGTTTTTGGGATGCTACTTCTGCTTGCCCAACCGTGGAATGGCAAGCAATTTACGTACTCCAAATATGGGTTAGGAATTGAAGTACATGAGGAGCACATTATTACGAATGTTGAAAGCTGACCTGATGGAAGTTAGATTGGCTGGTTTGGCCGTGAGCGGGCCCTCGGGCTGCCCTGTGGAGTATTGGCGTGTTAGTTCACTCGAGTGTGTGCGTCTGTGTACTCCTACTGCTTTAGGATTTGTGCATGTGGCCTGTAATCTCAGGGATAGAACCTTCCAGGACTTTACAAACATTGTGTGACTTTTCAATAAAATATTTCTTATATTACTAATCTAATATTGTATATATGCTAAGAGATATTGAGAGAGGGTAAACCTTAATTGTGTGAAACATTTAACACTCCTTTAAAGCCAACGGCAAACACAAAACTGTGTGGGGAAAAAGAGCTACAACACAGAAGCTGCAGCTCCCCAAAACACTAGCGGCCCATATAAGTGAGTTTATTCTTAGATTAGACCAATAAAAGAGCACATTTGGAGCAACAGCAAGAAGGTATCTAAATCAGATATAGTGGTTTAGCATTAAACTTTACCACACATTGATGATTGTACATGTTTGTCTTGGCTTGATCATAGTCTTCATTGACTGTACAATCCTTGGAGCCAACAAGGGGTTTTCACTTATGTTGAAAAAGATTGCTTTTTGATCGGTTATCCCTAAAACTGCAGCAGCAAGTTAGTCAAGTTCGACATTGTTGTTATTACTAAATTATAATATGATTTGCAACACATTGCAATTCAACTAAAACAGGGACAGTTACTATGTGATAAGTAAAATATTATAAGGTCTAAATGGAAAAAGTTCTCAAAATGCACCTGTATGATTCAGCCTCAGCAACTTTTTATGAGATAAAAACAAGCATTATTGTTACAATATGATTGCACTGTCCCTGTTGAAATGAAAACTGATGCTCCAGGATCAACAGTTGTGCCTCTCCATGAGGCAGAAGACAATATTGCAACAGTTTATTGCTGTCAAAGTACACTATACGTCTGATTTCCTTAGTGATTTCCTGGTGACAGTCAGTTAGCCCCTCTCCTGCATCAGCACTCCAATCTGCACTGTCGGGCTTTTTGTGAAGTCAAAGTGCAGAAAGAGGTACTTTTATCTATGACTCAACGAAGTACAGTGCCTTTTGTGTCTGGCACAAACACGTCCCCCCACCATTCGTCCAAGGAAGAGCAATTTTATGTTTTTTTTATCTTATCCTTTCCATTTTTGTTTTGATAATAAAAAAAATTAAAAAAAATCTTGACACCATACCAAAGATTCGTACGTGGATCTCCATTTATTTTCTACCTCATGCACTTTCACCTGATTGATTCATTTAAAGCTAATAATTGTTATATTTATTTTTCATGTTATAATGTTAATATTTTGTTCTTATTTGTGTAAAAGCAACAAGAGGATGATTACTTGTACTTTAAGAGTTAAAAAACATGCTTTATTAAACCTTCTATTATTTATCCTTTAGATGGATTGATTGATTGTTATTCATTCAAGCACAAATTTTACAATCATAAGTGTTTACAATATTTACATTCCTTAGTTTACATGAACTTGTTGTACATGTTGCCTACTGTGCTTACAGAATATACCTACACATACAAATATAAAAACACAAATGTACAACCAAGCAGCAGTATTTGCCAGTTTCACCATGTTTTGTATAATTACCATTTGAATTTACAAATGCATTTCTAGATACATGATGAAATTGCAAACACAATTTCAAATCAAATCTAACACATTTCCATAATCATTCCTGTCCTGTCTTCAGCCCAAATCAACCGAACTCTGCACTCTGCACCTCCACACTCCACTTCACCCCCGCCTTTTAGAAAGCATCCTTCCCCTCGCACTCTGAGCAAACATCGGTGTGATCTTTTGGCCGCTCCGGAGTCTCACAGGGTCAGAACAGCCTCCCCCTCCCCACTTTGCAGCAGCACCTATACTCCCACTCACCTGCTCTCAACTCTGACACGGCTGACCAGATATGACCAACCTTTCCCGGATAGAAATGTCAACTCTCGTAAGCACTTTCTCTTCACCTTCCCCCTCCCCTTGTCAAACCCATCCAGCGTTCGCTCTATCCCGCACGGACCACGAGACACGCCGGAAGAAGCCGGTTAGAGCTCGGCCTCCCGCGAGCTAGGTAAGACAAGGCATGTCATATCGGCGCATGTCAGTTAGCGGCTAACGGTGCTTGTCGGCTGGCCGGCCTCGTGCTTCATTTAACAGGCCTCCGAGGAGCGCGTTGCAGGCGTGTACGGCAACAAAACACTTCAGGAACAGTGGGGAATAGCTCTATAGGTCGTTTGTGTCTTACATCCTGCTCCTGAAGTGATATCGGGAATGTTATTGCAATGGGATATGATTTTGTGTTGCTATGTAAAAGCTGGAGCACCTCATTTTTAAACAACAAAACTTGTAGCTTCGTCCCATCTCCTCAAAATAGTTTGTTCCTAACCACTTGTTTGCACATGAATGATGTTTTGGTCTCACATATTTAAATCACCTTTTCAGTGAAAAAGGGAGGACCACACTCGCTCATCCAATCAACTCTCAGCCCAAAGCGTCAAATAGTGACTCTCATGGCTCTTTCTTACAAGTATGCAAACAATATAACAAACAATGAAGACATCCAGAGAACACATCACCCCTGTCCTCCAGCAGCTCCATTGGCTCCTCGTTCAATACCGCAAACTTTAAACTTTAAATCAGTACTCAAAACCCATCTTTTCAAACCAGCTTTTCCCTAAATCCCATTTTTATTATTGTATTTTATTCCCCATGTGAAGCATCTTTGAGTGTCCAAAAAAGCACTATACAAGTTTTATGTATTATTATTTTTGTAAGAAAGAGCCATGTGAGTCATTGTGTGATACTGTTGAGAGAGGATGGCCCTTTCCTTTTCGCCTTTTATGTGGGGAAAAGATTAGATCAAACAACCACGTTCGTAAAAACTTGTGATGGATCAAACATGTTTTTGTTTTGTAATTCCAATCAAGATTCAACAAATTTGTACAACACAAATTTAAAGAGTAACAATACAAAATAAAATACACAGTTAATTGAAAAAGGCTCAGTTTCAAAGTGAGGTACCCAAGCTTTAAATAAAGAGCCTACTGAATTTTACTTTTTGCTGGCCACGCATCAAAGTATATCACCACAGCAGCGAGAAGCAGATTTTTGTCTCATCCAGTCTCAGGAGAATATAAATGACTAAACCATGCATGCATCTCACGACACTGCAAATGTCATCAAACTTACCAAGATTGATACTAAATATAAAGCATCTAAAATTAAGCATTAGCTAATGCAGGTAATTAATGTTGTGTCAAGTAAATCTATCTTTTTTTTCCTCATTTAGTTTTTAAATCTATAAACTATATATGCAAAACAGGTCAAACAAGTGTTATAATGGTTTTCAGAACACAATCTTAAGTGCACACAGAAGAATGAAAACAAAATATAATATTACACATTATACACAATACACGTCTCGTAGCATTACAGCTCATGACATTAAAATCTCTCAAAAGTGGACTTTGGATTTTGAAGAATGTGATTATGTTTTGCGTTTAAAAGCCAGCATATACAGCATTTGGATCACTTTCCCCCCGATTTGTTTTCAGCGCCTGCACCGGGGAAGGCTCCTACCTGAAAACGTGAAGCTCCAGGCGCTGCGCTAATCAGTCGTTTCATGTGCATAATTTGTAAGGTAAAACTCCCCCCCTCCCACCGACAGAAAGACAGTCCCTGGGTGATAGACTGCGGCTCCAGACTGCGCCGCCTCCTCCTCACAACTACAAGCGGGAGGAGAATCTCAGCAAAAGCCATTTCCCTAAACGCGAAAATAGATTCTAGATTTCCCATTTCAATTTGCTGTACCTCCACTAACAGTTTGGCAAATTATCAGCATGTTTTGTAGTCTCAGGTCATCCATCGCTCTCCAGTAGATGCATTCACAGTCGCAGTGAGATAGAGTAGGATTGGAAAGAAAGGTTGTTGTAATTATAGAATAGATATATATAACAAAATGATAGATAGGTGACTGTATGCAACTTCTTCTGTGCGGCTTTTCTGTGTGTAGTTTGCATGTTCTCCTTGTGTCTGCGTAGGTTTACTCTGGGTGCTATGGTTTCCCTTACTGCTAAAAACATGTACAATAGACCTGAATGTACTGAGTGTGTAAACGGATGGGGATAGTCGGAGGTTTCGGGGTCTCGCTTCTGGAAATTATCAGTACTCCAAAAAACATTGTTAAGTGTTTGTTTGCTTGGTCTGTAAAGTAGGCTGCATACATAAATATTACTTAGTTACATCAAGGACAGTAACTATAACAAAACTTTGTATTCTGGAGATTTGTATAACTTGCTAACTAATAATGGCACAATGATGAGTATTTAATCGAGAACAAAGCCATTTGGATGTAATTTATTTTTTTGGTAATTTCTCCTGTCAAGTAGTATCTTTGCAACAGCATGTAATTAATTCGATGCATTCTTGTTGGATTTAGGAATTTAAAAAAATGAAAAAAGTTTGCACTTCTTACACTATTAACGGTGTTGCACGTTGTGATTTATTCTATTCTATACCAACTCCATTTCTCAATTGTTTGTTCAAATATATTTTTGTTTTACTTCTAACCAAAGACAATGCCATAAAGAAAACGTTTAAAAGACAAAAAACCAAAAAAAATAAACGGCTTTAAATCAGACACTGTTTAAACGATTTTTCCTTTGTGGCATTTATTTTACACAATGCAACTTTCCGCCAGTAAACTTCCACATTATTCCAACGCAGACATTGTCATGAGATAAAAACATCTTAGAGAACTGCTGGAATCAATCAAAAATAGCTGCAACAAAAGGACTAGTATAGTGGGAACGATCGCATTGTTTGTGTACTTGACAAACCAATTGCATTCTTCCATTAGCAGCAGGACTTGCTAAATCACAGAGAACAAATTATTGTTGCATTCCGAGCTTTTAATATATAGATATTTTATACAGTTCTCTTTATCTGGTCTTGTCGGTGTTTTGCCATCGAGAGCCCTGTAATATGTTTGGATTGGACTAAATATTGCATTATCCAACACTAAAACAAATGATAATCTTCCATCCCTAAATATTTGCATCCTTTGTGAATTCACGCAATTCCATTAGCATCCATCACAACATAAAGTGCTTGCTTTGTGTAAAATTGCTTTTCTTTAACAGTATCAAACATGGAAGAGAATCACTTCAGAGAGCAGGAGCGGTTCTGTCTTGACCCTAAATATTTACCTCCCGAATGATTCCGCTTAATTATAATAGCTCTGCGATGTGCTTGTAATTTGCTAATTGCCTTCTTGTGGAGCGCTTGGGTGCTTCCGAGTATCCAGATGGAGCGTTTGGTTTTCCACATTGTTCGGGGCTAATAAACCCTCTTCAACTGAAAAAAAAACAACCCACATGCATTTTGTTGGGGAGAACGATTGGTGTGGATTCATCGCAATTGCTAACTTCGCCCAATTTATCCCTCCGTCAAATTACGGGGAAGAATGGTGGAGCGATCGCAAACCTTGGAAATTACCGACTTGATGAGGGGGTGAAGACTTGATTTGGATGCGAGGTCTGCTTTGCTAATGGATGCGGCGAATGAGCAAATTAGCTTCACAATTTTGGTGATTAACAACTCAACAGGCGGAAGGAGTGTGGCACAATGGCCCCATCCAGCTATTGCCCGAATCTGCAGCCACCAGAAGACTAAGCTTTAGGTAAAAACAAGGCTAATCGACAACCAGTGGAAATAAGGATCCGTCTCAGTATGGCAGCATGTACGAGGGAGACAATGTGAACGGTTTATAGTCTCATTACCGCAAATACAAATGCATGAAATGGTACCAGTCAAATTCTATGTAGACCAAGAGAGAAACAATGAAAATGAAACTAATAAAGCGTGTGTCCTGTTTGCAACTGTAAATCCACCAGGTTTAAATACCAAAGCAATTGTCAATGAGATCACCACGTTTTTGAATGAGAAAGTAGATAAATCAAAACCCAAAAACCCCAGAACCACAAATGGAAACATCACTACCACCTGGGCATAATGATTTCTTTTAATTTAACTCAGTCAAAGGCAACATGGCTCAGTTTAAGCTCTTCAGCCTTGATTTTCTGCCTACTAGATTTGTTTGAGTCAATGGTCGGCAGGCTTTTGTTATCAATCACTGAAACTATTAATTAATCTATTCAATTTGGAACATTCCCAAGGTCTCACCCAGTGATTGCAAAACAATCCAATGTGCCATCTGTGAGATTCTCAAAAATCTACTTCATCTCAATTCATGGATTCCTTTTATTAATATTTGACCTGCATCAATCAAGATTAACACAGAGACTAATCAAAGCGACTAATGAAACTCTGATGCAGGGACGTCTCAGTGTTAGTTTGACCAGACTTGAGTGCGCCTGTCCAACCGTTTCCCCCAGAAAGCTAACAAAAATGGCAGTGAGCTACTCCTTGAGGCAGGTAAAATAAAGCGGAACACATATTTTTACTTAAACAGCCCTAAACGACTGCTGGGACCAACACAATGTATTTTTGAAGCTAAAACAAGTAAGGCTCTTCAGCTTTAATACATGCCCTTTGAGCAAAGCCATCCCTTCGCTTCCGCAGTATTCCGCGCTCAATACATTGCGACTTGCGCGTGTCGAAAACCCAGCCCGCCTGCCAGCCTCCTATCTTCACTCACATCTGTAAGCCAGTTTAAGTGAGCACTAAAGGGCAGCCCACAACAGCAGCAGTCTGTGTGGAGTAGACTTCACTGCATAATACCTTCCCAGGGAGTCCTGACATTTTCACCTCAGCTACGGCTTTTGCTGATCCCAGACAAGCCGCCTCTGTCTCTGCCCCACAATACGAGCTTTTAGGTCAGGTGTACAAGCAGATAGGTTTGTTCCTTTGGGTAAAGCTTGGGAGTGGAGGGAAGGCATGGAGCGCTATGATATGCTATAGGTCTAATAAAGCAGATCTCACAGTGTACTTTAAAGAAAAAATCTTTATATTTTTTAAATGCTTAAGTTACGGTTCTAGATGTCTAGATGGAAAAACAAAGATATGTATTACTTAATATTAATTCAAAA